GGGGGGGGGGGAAGAGCAGACAATCTTAGTTGTCAATGTTACGATTACATACGTTCCCCTTCAGGTCAATCATCGTGCTATTGTTTGTTTGTTTTTTCAGGCTATAAGGCTATATCAAAACTGTTGAGTTTTCAATCGTTTCAAACGCAATCCAACCAAGAGCAGGCTTTTGTATTAGTAATTTGCAAGCATACACGCTGTTTCACACGGGAATGTCTTAAAAACTGATGGGATACGGTTTTCAGCTTCGATTTTGCCGATAACCAGAGCTCTGCAGGGGAAATTGTTAGCAGCCAGGTCTGCCTCTGGACTTAATAAACTACATGTCGGATGCGCTCAAAATATGAAGACAGTGCAGGATCTATAGTTCGACGTTCGACAGAAGACGAGGAAAGAAAGAAGACAGCATACCCAAATAATGTGTTACTGCGTTTTATTTCAATTGCTACTGAATTGAGTATTACCTAACGAACATTGTTCTATTTCTAAGGTATTGGACTATTATCGCATCGTATTATTAATATACTATCTACACTGGGATCCAGTTGTTTCCAGAATTAGGTCGAATTCCTATGTCATTTTGTAACTTTTCAGTGAGGTGTTCTGGCTATAGTTTCGACTGACGTTAAACTCAGCAAAATGGTAGCTGTGAAAATAACATTTTCAAGGCCACAGCATTTGAAATTTGTCAAAGTCTCAATCCTGGATTAGCGTCAATGAGTTGAAGAAAAACGGTTCAGGATCCGGGCTGTTTCGCCAGTGCACACTTGACCTGAAACCAACTATATATCAGACACTTGTGACTTGAGAAAAAAAAGATAAAAAAAGAAATACCCCCAAAATATTCATTTAATTTTATATAAATAAATAAATACACCGTTGAAGGCATTTAAACCTCTGCTACAAATAATCTAAAAAATTAACGATCATTAAATACCAGCTGGGAATAATACTCCAGGAAACAAATAAAACATACAATTATCTTACAAAGGAACAAAAGTGCTGTTGTTGTTTTTTTCTTAACAAATCAATAATTATATTAATAGAAAACTGAACTAAATCTCTAGCCATTAGAACTGTTGAACATACAACTACTAAACTTCAAAGAGACATAGCCTCCGAAAATATTGACGCTTCGTCATTACTTTGCTCGCTCTTGAGGCGGCAACATTCACCTGCGAAATGTTCTGTGTTATTGTTGTAATCAGTATTTTATAATATAGAGAGGTTTTCAACTCAGTGTCGTAAAACCAAAACCAAACCAATTACTTGCCAGACTATTCAGCCAATCTCAAACCATACGAAAATCAAAACCAAAGTAATTGCCTGATTACTTTCGACACAATCGAAAAAAGCTCTAGTGAAACTAAAAACTTCACATATAATTTCCATAGGTGATCAAAATCTTATCTCTCCGTACAATATCAACACATTGCCAATCAGACAGGTAGTAGGCAATAAAAGAAAACGCACAATTATCAGATCTTGATTTGAAGGATAACATATTTTCCGTAACTATCACACAGTGAGCAGTGACATACGTATCAAATTTCAGAGTGGGGAAAACTGAATGAAGCATTCTCGCCAAGATTACAAAGTCTTCCTTAAAAAGTTTGTCAGCCTGCTAGTGACTAAGACAAGGAAGTTACCCATGAAGTCAAAAACCTGGCCGGAAAACACTTCATTGACCAAAATAAGACTAGTAAATTTTCCACTAATTTTTCTTTAGAACTTTAGAATTTTCCAGACCAGATAATAAATGCCATGATTCTTCCATGATCTTCATTCTTTCCTTTCCTTTTTCATGAAAACTGACAGCCCTGTAAAATAATTCTTAATTCAACGACATCTACTCAGAAAATATCCTCAATCTGTTAGGATATCATTTTCTCAATTCGCATGGTCTCTGTGCTTGACTGCGCAGTGATACTGGGGAGAAATAAGACCTTGATCAACTTTGGGTCATACAGGATTAATTACAAAGAAGCTTCTAAGGCGCAAACCAGTTGTGGACAGAAGCTTCCTTGGCTACCATTAATTTCCTCAGCTATGTACATCTACGTACTATGTCAATAAAATGATCTTAAATAAACATAAAATAAAGCATTTGTGTTAAAGCCAACAAAGAAATGCTGAGCTTATATACACTGAGTTACCGGAAGCTAAATAAAATTGAAATGTGACCTCACCAGCTCGACTGGTAAATGGACAAAAATAAATCTACCGGTACCCCATATAAAATAAACTTCTATAGTCATTTCAATTTAAAATAATTAATTAATTAAAAAAGAATTATTTCAACGTGAGCATAATATCAGTTCTGATTGAACAAGAACCGCATGTCCATTTTATAAAAACATCTACATCTATAGCATGTACACTAACACATATTGCACGATTTACCGTGTGTTAATTTTCAATATTGCACCTTTTAGCTAACGTTGATTTAATAATGATGTAATTTATACGTTCTCAACCACCTAAAATATTCTAACTACTGTCATGAAAGATTCAGTGAGTCATTAGGCTAGACATCTGTTACATGTTGGGCAGTATCCTAGATGTTGTGCGTTAAGGAGATCTTTTTTGTGTGAGATCACCTGTGGACAGACTGTCCATGTAAGATTAATGAATCTATACAAGGAGTATCCAGCAATGAATTGACTGTTTACTGTCTAAGACGAGTGTGTAGGATACAATGTAAAGTTAACCATTAATGCGGACTATTCAAACGAATTGTAGAACTACATGTATAGTCCTTATATTTACAATTAAATCGCGAGCCCATAGTTCAAAACAGGATTGAAGCCAGTCCCAAGTCAGTATGAAGCAGACATTCAACGCTAAAACTTACGAACTGTATCTGTTGTTCTTTTAGCTTTGGCTCAATCATTTTCTGAGCTTTGATTATGCCCATACTGTAAATATGGTAAATCTTGCTTTAGTATCAGCGTTCTAACAAACAAGCTCTGTAGAGAAAATGTAACATGAATGTACGGCTACCCACATGGGCACAGAGTGGTCACGGACTAACTTTTCAATGCACCGCAATTCATTCAGGTAGTTGTGCCTGCAACAGACTGTACCACTTTTATGAACCGACGCAACGCCTTACGTTCATGTGTTCCATAGACACTGCAGTCACACTGCTTGCAACTTCTAGCACTTTTGTTCAAGGTCAGGTCGACACGGTATCAAAGGAGGTACCTTCGTCTGAGAAAGTTTCTTTGGAAGTGGAGGAGGAGAATCACTTTCGAAATGTGCCTCAACGTTCTTCTTCGCAACAACATGGAAACCATTTACTCCAAGCACATTTTCATAATGCAACGCTCTCGAACTCAGACTGCCATTTTTGACGGTGCCGTTTTCTTTACATCGTTTAACCTTCGGTGGAAGCTCAGGAAGACAGGTTTCCTTTCCACAAGGCTTGCTTGGTAAGGTAACGTTCTCATAAGCGTTGCTACTGGTTCTAACAGGCTTAGCAACGACCACACTATTCTTGTTAGCACGTGGAGGCAAAGCTGGTTTCATGATCCCCAGTGCTTTTTTCGGTGGATCACTCATTGAGTTTGTATCCCGGCTTGACACAGCAGGCACACCAGCAAGAGTTCCATTCAATCTTTTATTCAAAACAGTTGCAAGTTCAGGGCTCACGGCCATTTCCCACCGGTGTTGTGAGGAGCCTACAAGGGACTGGGTCCGTTTCATACGTGCAATTCGTTTCCATCGTGGAGGTGGGACAGGGTGATCTTGAAAATCCACATTATGGCCTTTGTCACCATCTAACCCGAAACTCCAGGGATCATCTTTATCCGCGTCAACGGTTATAGCATCAGCACTTCCTACTCTCGTTAAAGCCGGTGGGCTGCGCTTTTCCAAAATCATTCTCACGAATCCATCTAGCTCATTAGGCACCACTCCAACGCAATGGCTGTTTGTCGGTAGAGAATGGCAAAGCTTTCTGTCTTTTTTATCCTGGTATCTTGGGATTGTCAGGCCCAAAGTTTCTTCATCCTGGCTTTCCTTCTTCTTGCCTTCAATTTCACAATTCTCATACAAACTATCACTAACGTCTTTTTGGTCGCTCTCCAGATTGCCATTCTGCGATACTTTCGGTGTGAAGTTTCCGTGACTTGTGCGTCTTGGATTAGGAACGCAGTTTTCATATCTTTGTTCAGCGGTGCGAGCTTTGTCTGAAGAATTCTCTTTCTCTTGTTTGCAGTTGGCTATAGCTTCTTGGGAGTGCTCTTCTTTGTTTGCTGTAGTCTTACCGGTTTGCAGCTCGACATTCTCATAGCAAGCACGAGTTACTTTGCGTGAAGCTTCAGTAGAATCACACGCCTCGTTCTTGATCTTCCTGTTGTCGCAATATGCATCAGAAGACCGCAAAGTGGTCTCCGAAGGTCTCAGCTTGTGGTTGTCATAGAAACGACTACCTGACGAAGAGGCTGCATCAGCATCTTTCAATTTGTGGTTGTCATAATTCGGCTGTGTGGGCCAAGTATTGCAACGCGCATCTCTAAGCTGATGGCCGTTTTGCAACAGATAGGAAGAATTGCACCTGACCTTGTCTTGGTCAGCAGCTTCCTGTTGACTGTTCTGATCACGTTTCTTAGTGCTTTGTTCTTTAATTGAGATGCGATGGTTCTCATATGAATGCGCATTGTTTGCTTTAAGGGAGGTCTTTGAAGAAAGGGGTCCACCTCCTCTTTCTGATGGAAAAGCTGGAACTGGTGCACATGGCCTTGACAAATCTTCATAAATGTCCTCTTCTTCCGCCTTACTTGAAGAAGAATCATTCGATTTGGCACCACCAACTCCTGTCAGGAACGTAAGCATTTCCTGAGCAAACGTTTCGCCTACGGAAGATTTCAGTGGAGACAGTTTCTCCGTCGGTGGAGAGAATGTCTTGGAGAGCCGTCGAGGTTTGCCTTCGAATTGCACAACTGAGCTGCTTGGGAGTGATGTTGAAATCTTTGTAGAAAGAGAAGGAGAGGTTGGTTTACCAACAGACAACTCTGGATCACCAAAGTTGCTGAAGTCCAGAGAACACTTCTGGTCTGTTGAAGGAGGAGAGGACTGTGTGCCATGCTGCTCCCTAGAATACCTTGGTTGTCCTGTACCCTGGTTTGGAATGGGTATGGGGTTAGACACATGCCCAGCTGGCGGCGACATGAACTCATACACTGTAGCCTTTGCGTCTTGTTTTCGGATGCTTGTATTCTCATACAAAGCCTCGAAGTTTGCTTTTTGCTGGTCGGGACTAATGTCACCAGTCGAAGAGTTAAATCTCCTGATGTCAACACTGGATGAATATCCACTGTCAACCTCTGTGGAAGACGTTAGGTCGCTTTCAACAGACCGGCAAGAGAAAGACGTGCCTCTGCTGCTACCAGTTGAAAACAGTTCAGATGAATACAAGAGGACTGGAGTCTCGTAGATGTGAGCGCTCCCACAGTCTGGGGAAAGGTCATAGTGACAGTAATAGTAAGTAAACGAGCACATGATATGTTAGTGTTTTCCCTTCACAAGGAGAAAGGGATAATTGCACATTATTATTTTCTCATAAAAGTGTGATAACGATAAAACGCCTTACCACAGTTCGGACGCTGGTTACACTGTTTGCTACGCTGTTTAACGGAACTTCTGGAAAAGGAAAAGAAACGGAAAGTGAACACGTAAATTAAAATATGCGTTCAAGGAGTTCGTGATTTGTTCAACATAGTAGCACAACAATAGCTTTGATGAGTAACAGAAAGACAGCACAAACAGTCCGAGTGGATGGACAGAAGTGAGATGCACACAAACAAAAAGATTAAAAAAATAAATAAATAAATAAATAAATAAAAAGAACAGAAACAGACAAATCGATCAATGAAAAAGAGAATACTGACCTTGGCTTTGGCGATGTCCTGTGAGTTACTGGTGACACAGCTGAAATAAAAAAAAGGAAAGGAACAGACTGAGAAGATGAACCATGCAGTACATGTACAATATACAGGGGTACTCTGATAGCTTTGTTACCGCATAACTACTTAATTATTTGTTGCCTTTACCTCAGAGCAAACTCTACATCAACTCATTAGACATGTACAGTGAGTAACTATACAAATACATGAATAAGTAACATAATAACACACTGACATGGAGAATGCTGAAAAATTAGATTTACGTGTACTGTTATGGACAAAGCAGTGCAAAAAAGGCACTGTTCATGTACCTCTCCGTAATCCACTCTCTACCAGTTCTGATGGAAACATTCCAACTTGCTTTGTCCTCATGTTTTGTCCTTTCCACCAAGAAACATCCGGACTGCAATGTACAATAAAAGAAGATATTCAAAATCAGCAGACTCTTCCTGTTCTTTTTTTGTTAAATCATGCCAGTGCACATACATGTATACACACTAGTTCATCTGTCTCTTTATCAAAGCATATAAATTATAATTTTCGCACACACTAGCCCTACCTAGCTTCAAGTAATGTGATAATATCTCCTTCCTGGAAACTCAGATTTTGTTGGCACTTGCTTTCATATGGGAAAACAGCAGCAGCATTCACAGGATGGGCCTTCAGAGACACAGAAGAAAGGTAAATATACATGTACATGTACAATGTAAGTGTGAGCTATGACTGACAATTAACTGTGCTTGACTACATCAAGTACGTACATGTTCATTTTCTTGTAAGTTTCTGGATTTTTGTAATCATACAACTGTAGAAATGACCTTAACACCTTAGATAAATAAATAAAATAACTAAATAAACAATTTTTAAAAAAAAAATTAATGGACATCCGGAAGATTGATTTTCAAAATTCTCACCACCTAACAATTGATAATGCATGGATAAATCTGTTTGGATTTTCAGGATCGCATTACAGTAATTGTACTCAGTTCAATAGTGATTTATATACTTTGTATTGTCAGATAAACTGGAAAATGAGGACCTGCATGTACAGCTGTTAAGTGTCAACTGATCTTGGTTACCATGTACTGTGCATCTGTAAGTACAAACTACAAACACTAAACACTGAATATCAAGAAATTATAAGTTTGGAGCCTAACCTCATCAACCATCTTCTTCAGCATGCTGAACCTTGCTCGCTGATGAGGTTCGTGAGCCCAGCAATGTGACAGCAGGATATTGTAGATTTCTGTCGGGCAGTGATCAGGTCTTTTGGGTCGTTCACACAATGGCATGTCCACCTTTTCCAGTATCTGGTTTTGAACACCGAAAAACAAAACAAAACAAAACAAAACAAACGTTTCTTACATGAAAAAGGTGTGTGACTGAGACTACATGTACGATTACTAATAACAGGCCATTCACAAGTACAGTTCGTACAGTACATGTATACACTTGTATGACTGCACGCCCTTTACTTGTAAGACCAAGAATGCTGTATCAACAGTTGCTGTTGGCAAAAACAAAACAAAACAAAACAAAACAAAACAAAACAATTGGACAACTTGGAAGGCAAATGAGAAGGGCCTTTGGGTTTACGGACCAATCAGATATCCATATACAGTGGAATTCTGATTCTCAAACCCTCATCTTTTTTAACCTCCCCATAACTCAAACCAAAAGTCACTTCCCTCCCCTCAGTCGAATACTGTAATTTTACCCCAGATTTCCCAAACTATCCAATTTTTCAAACAAAATTTTTGTTTCCCTTGGAGGTTTGAAAAATCGGGATTCCACTGTGCTACTATCATACACCTATTTGCCAACAAGGCAACTGGAAAATATTGACTAAAATTTTCTTTATCCCTTGCAACTGCTTGAGGAAGTTACAGGCTAGTTCCCTCACCTCAGCTCCATTCAGTCCTGGCCAAGGTTCCATTCCATATGAAAATAATTCTAGCATAGTGATTCCAAAAGCCCACATGTCAGAGGCATGGGAAAACTTGCGAAACTTAAGAACTTCTTGTGGACACCTGAAAAGAACATCACATAATCACTAAGGGATCTCTTTCATCCAGGTTCATAACAAATGCTTGAAGCAAGCAGCTTTATTGTTGGAGACTAACCAGAATTAGTAGAATTGTACCAGTACACTAATGCAAATGCTGCAATCTGATTGGCTGAGTCACTGAGTGAGTGATTGTACACTATCAGCCATAAGTGTGCAGTGGCTAGAGGTCATTTACCAAATGGCTGTTTTTTTCATTTTTCCAAAGTTTGCAGGAACATTTTAATGCCAACGATAATTTAATAAATTCTTAAGACTAAAAAAAGGACATTTACAGTTTCTCCACTTTAAAAAAAAAACTTGAAATTATTGAAAAAATATGTGTGCCCACAACTGCAATTTCAAATCACAGTTCAGTCCGATGGATCTGTTTATAGTGCAAGTTTAATAACACATCAATAAGTAATTGGAAACTGTTCTTTGAAGTAAACTTCAGTTAGAATTCTGCAAAACAATTAAATTATTTGCTCTTGATTTCTATGAGGTGATAGTTGATTCGACCTTTGGCCTCATCAACAATCACCCCACAGAAATCTCAAGCTCATAATCTAATTGTTAATTAGCATACATCTCTCTTTTGTGAGGTGTTCACAGTTAGATGCAGTTAGGAGAATCAATATTTCAAACTTACCAGGCAAATGGAATCTTCCCACTGGGTTGCATTGTATAGTGGTCGTCTTCTTCAGATAGTTCACGCATCATTCCAAAATCTCCAATCTTGACTTTCTCATAAGACTCCAGCAACACGTTTCGAGCAGCAAGATCCCGATGAACAAACCTGTGGGACTCAAGATATGCCATTCCTGATGCTATCTGGACCACAAAGTCACTCAGACCATTGATGGTGAAATTTTGGGATTCATCTCTGAGCCGTGTTAGCAGACAGCCAAGTGGCGCAAGTTCAGTGACCTGAAAATAAAAATCTTTAATACTGTAGACGTGTATGAATTTACAATAAATTGGTATATTTTTGATAAAGTGTGTGTTCTAGATAATTGGGCACACTTGTCAACCAGAATTTGCCAGAAGTTTTCAAAGAACATCGCTTTCTTCACATCATCTTGTTGTGCATGTACACGTGACGTGCTTAATAAGTTCATTTTGAAATAGATGCAAGCATCTTTTAAATCACTTTAATTTTCCCAAGTTCTTGTTTTACAGTGTACATGCACTGTCCCTTTGCATACACTTAGAGGAACTAAACATATGCACCTATGATGAACAACTTGTACAGTAGTACAGAGCATGGACAAATCAGGCCTATCAAAATGTGAAGACAGCTAGCAATTTGGTTGCCTACAGAAAATTATTTGTCACCCACATGTACTTTACGCTGTAGGTCAATAAATATGAGTGTGTATTGACCAAGCGTGAGGTCTGGTTGGCTGCATATTGGTCGAGACGAGTCTTGGTGCACAATCACACATACAAAAAAAAAATAATAAAAATATTATAAATGATGAGGCCAATATCCAGCCATCTTGATTAAACAAGCTTGGTCAATAAAGAAATAATCATATGGCTTTCGGGACAACTCTTCTTGTGAGACACAGCAGGTAGTCCTGAGCATGCAAGATATTGCCATCTTGCCCATTCAGGTAGCCAATTACAGTGCGGGATTTGGTTCATCTTGCCTCCTCACTGAGCTAGCCATGTAAGAACCCTGCTTACTGCTTACTGCTTATTGCCCATTTCTTATGTTATCCTGCCTGCTGCATGTAAGTGCATATTATACTACATGTACAAAGCATTGTTCCAGCAGCAACAAGTGAATACAGAAAATTTGTGCTGTGCATACAGTACAAGTTAAATGCACTTACACTGCTATCAGTGAACTAAGTACTCACCAGCATCATGGGAACAGAAAGCACAATGCCATAGAGCCTGATAATGTGTGGATGATCCAATAAACTCATTGCATTAGCTTCTTTGATAAACTCCATCTGCATCTGTTGGAAGGCCCTGTCATTCCAGGCCTTTAAACATTTTACTGCCACATTGATCTAAATGTTGTAAATGATTAATATTATGTAGTTAAGCAAAATGCACACACACTCAAAAATTCACTTTTATAAAGTCCCATTGTTCTTTCCTTCCATTCCCAAGATGCATGCTCACTGCTGTTTTCTATTCAACAATGAGCTCAATGAGTTCAAGATTTCTATCGCAGCCCAAGTCAACTATCCCACACAAATAGAAATTGAGTGCAAATAAACTAATTGTTTTATAATAAATCTAGTAATCATTTTAACTTTATCTAAATCCTCATCACAGACACTTCAAAAACATAAACAAGCAGCCACCAATTTATTAACAACCGCACACTGCTTGGCTACTCACTATCTACAGCAGAATAGATAGTTAGTAGTGACAGTGTAGCCAGTCAGAGAACAGCAGCCATGATAGAATGCTAGTAGATTTATACTAAATCATATGTGCATGTTCTGATTCAAACATANACGAATTATAAAATCGCCCGAGGGAGACTTAGTCTCGACAATAAAAGAGTGAAATTTGCCGCTGTCACTGTTCCAAGAAACAAGCTTTAGTATTCATCTTCTAAAGCTTTCGAGATCAATGTTAAATTAACAGTGTGAAATATGCAAACGTGGCATTATTTCACAGTATCGATCGACGCGTGTGACCTTCGATAATTTGTGCCATCATACACAAGACTTCCCCGTTCAAAAAATGCTATTCAGTACGCTAAAAACACAAAACATAAAACTGTGCTGTCACTAAACCCCAATACGACAAACATAAATTTCACTATTACAAGAAAGTACCGCTGGGAATTCCAATACAATGAACAAATTGTAGTCAAAACACAACCAACATAGGCGACGCGAACATCAAACTTCGCCGTTTTAGCAAGACTCGATCGTCCTAAGTGTAAGAACTTACCTTTCGTCTAAAACTGCTGAAAAGCGACTTTTTCTTGGCTTTCTTCAAAGCTTCAAACAACCGTCTCTGTTCTGGTTTAGCCATGCCAAGATCGTCCAGATCTTCTTCAGTGACGTGGTCGAAGTGTGAAAGGCGTGTAATGTGTAATTTGCCGTGAATCTGTCGATAGAACTGGTCCAGTTGAATGTCCTTTAAAAGATCCTTGACTTTTTCTTCTTCGGCGATATCCATTTGATCCGTGTTTAAAGTAATGTTTAGTTTTTCGACAATTTACTACGACATTTCGCTTAGCGTTGTCATCGTCCGCGTAATCTGTTTTCATTCATTCATGCCGTCTCGAGGATGACTTCTGGCGCGCAATTCATCACTAGCAAGAATTTGCATGCCAATGAGATCATCATCATTTTCTAGCCAAAAAAAAATCAGTTAAAACTAAGAAATAAAGAATTTAAGGCAACTATAACTAACAATAAGTTTTTGCTTCAATTTGATTTGAAGTTATTTTGGGCTGTGTGGGTAACGTCCAGATAAATATGGAATTTTATTTGGACTCAAGTCGTAAATTCTCTTTACAGATTGCCTCGGGGGGTATGTATTCTTATGCGAGCCAATCCCGATGGCGCATTAGTCATACGCATCACGTACCTCGCGTTGTTTCACGTAGAAAAAAATCACCTGATCTCGAACGATCTCGAATGGTAATGTTTTCATTGGTGGAGATAATAAAATAGCATGAGTAATTCTCGTCATCGATAACGATGAAACACGGTTGTTTCAGTAGCCGCAGGTTCCAGCTTGGTTTCAGTGGCCCCTACTGAAAAAGTGTCATTTTGCGTGGGCGAGAAAACTATAATAGTTTTTTTTTTTCCTTTCTTTCTTTCTTTTTTTGTCTCTCCGGTTAGAAACCGGAAAAGCGCTCGAAATTTCTTTGAAAAATGAAAAACTGCTATTAAAATAGCTCAAAACCGAAATATAACAACAACAGCAACGTATTTCCATAACGATACATGGCATTACCTATTTAAGTCATTTAAACTAAAGAAAATATAATAACATCCAAAATAAAAACAAAACTTCTTTCGGCTTAAGCGAACTTTCATGGTATATTGCTTGGAAAAAAAAAAGCAACGGTTGATCGACATACAGTAGGAGCAATGCTGTTAAAGAGAGACAAAACGTTTGCTTTAATATCTAACTCAAGACTCTATAATTATATTTGTCTGTTATTTCATTACCACCCCCGAAAATGAGGATATATTAAGCTGCGCGAATCTACCAAGCTTGATACGTCAAGACTCCCGGCATATAGTCAATCGGACCCAGTGAGAATGGATACGATCTAGTTGAGCTTGTTTGCCAAACTTAATGGGACACAATCATGGGTTGAGTTCGACTGGGTTCCATTTCCTCGGAAATTGATCTCACATCCTCACAGAAAGTTCGGTGTCTGATTTCGTTCGATTGCCGAACTTAATCGAACTCAATCCACTAATTGACTGAGTTCGATTTTAGATAAACTTTAGATAGATAAACTTTATTTAAGCACGATAATAATTAAAGCTAAAAGCTTGTGGGGTCGTGTATTTAAATTTAACTTTGCTAAAAATTTAAATTTACGATTAAAATGTTCGATGATGTCGGGCAGATTTCGGGCGCCTGGGAGATCAAACTTTTGTTTTTCTCCTGCTCCAGCAGAGAAAATTACGCCCTGATGTTGCTCTGTTTCTCTTTGGCTTTGAGTGATGGTTAGAAGCTGATTTCCTGTTAATGAAGGAAGAACCAAGCCATGGGCGATTGCATGATCACGCGTGATATGTTGCGCCAGGAAGCTCCATTCGAATTCACGAGGTATTTGAAAACGGATCTTCAAATTTGAAAATTTGAAACGTGTCTTGATCGCTTCAAGCCTTCAAGTCTTACTGCAATAGCCCCCGTCCAAAAAAAAAATACATGAAGAGACTTTTTTATGTTTGTTTGTTTGTTTGTTTGTTTTCCTGGATCTTGGAACGACTGACGGTGATGGAACGTGAATATCCAAACAGCCGTAAGTCGCTGTGATTTGCATGAAGTTAAGAAACCACAACAACAACGGCAACGGAAACGTCGCTAAACAGTTTAATGAATAATATAATGGCTGTGCATGTGCGTAATAGTATCCTAAGTGCATTTATTTGCCGTCCCTTGTAAAACAACAACGAGAAATGTGGAAAACGTGGACCACGACGGACAACTTTTTATTCAGATTCGAGACGGATTGGGATTGTTTATTTATACACGACCCCACAAGCTGCAAGCTTAATTACTTATCGTGTTTAATTAAATAAAGGTTACTTACTTACTTACTTACTTACGGTTCTGTCAAAGAGAGACAACTTGAACTATATAAATGACTTAAGAATATCGCGAGATTTGTAGGTAAAATATAAATTCATTTTTTAATCGACGTTGTCCTTGGCGTCGCCGTCGTAGTTACTTAAACTCCCTAATACAATTAACTACAACCGACTCTTGGTAGCTTTTACATCTGCTTTGGATTGTACTGTCGTTCAGTTGGTGACTCTCAATAGGCGAATCTTTGCTGACGTCATTGTTTACATTTTTCCTCATTTGCATACGACTTCACTCATAGAAGCCGTAGCCGTATATATGAACTAACCGGAAAGGTTGATAAAGCTGATTAAGTTGAGCAATTTGTGCAACTTTCAGCTCTTTGCAAGCAAAATTGAAGGAAATATCAGCCATCAAAAACTGAAAAATTGCTGTGTGGCAAAAAAGTTAATGAGCCATACATTTCTCTGTAAAATTTCGACTTTTTAGAAGAGAATTTTTCCGAAACCATTCCGTGTATTGGACTCAAATTTTCAGAGGTAACTGAAACTGTTATGCCCTTTCAATATTCAGAGTTCTTCTTTGATTAGCGTCATCAGATAGTGATAAGCAAATGCTAATGAGGCAAAAAGTGTAAACAAAGAGTCGCCTATAAGCGGAAAGACACATGAATTTACAATTTATTCTTTTAGTCATTAAAAACAAAGCAAAAACCACCGAAAAAAGAACTGACGTCAGTTTGTCCTGCGTCTCTCCTGTTACGTTGACAATGAATTTCGTCATAACATTGTCAAAGTAGTCTGCAGATCGTCTCGGCTAGCTACCGCCTCGTAGTTCCACAGCTACTTTGACAATGTTATGACGAAATGTATGATCAATAACAGGGCAGACGTATGAAAAACTGACGTCAATTTGTTAATTGTCTTCTAATAGGAGATTATCAACTACAGTCGAACCCCTATTAAGTGGCCACTCTCAGGGAAATGGGAGGTGGCGCTTTTTAGGGGTTGACCGCTTTAATAGGGGTCCGCGTGAATCGAATATTTTTCACCGTCAGGTTAGCATATAATCACGTCAAGACAACCATAAGAAACGTGTGTTTGAATATATTTATTAGTCGGCAAATTCTATTTCAGACTCTGATAATTCATCGCTAGGGGTGTCCTGGGGTGCCATGAGGCCCCCCCCCTTCTCCCCTCCCCCCCCCCCACACTTTTGTAAGCCGGTTTTAAGCAACTTACAACAGGTAACATAAGATAAGATGAGATAACTTTATTTATACACGGTTTTTCCATCAGTCAATTAAGTTACTGGACTATCTACCGATTTACCTAGCTGCAATAAAAATCAATAACAACAATTCAAATTTTAAAAAAATGCTTTTCATGGAGGCCGTGTCTAAAAAATTACTTAAAATTAAGATATTACTTAAAACTATGGCAACTTAATTTAGATTTGAAATCGATCTGTGAAGATACTTGTCTAAGGTCTATAGGTCCGCTATACGAAAAACCTCTCTAAGATAATCAGTTCGAGGTTATGGAAGAACTAATTTGTTTTCGGTATTCCTTAAAAGATAAGCACTTACATTGTCACGATATACGAATCTTGATCTTAGATAATCAGGTGTCATACCACGTAGTGTTTGATACATTAGGATAGACTTCTGTTCCAATCTTTGATAGTAGAGTCTTCGCCACCCCAGTGCCCGAAACAAATCATCCATATTACTATCATAGCTCGCAGAAATTGGGGTGCGAGCTGCGTTATTTTGAAGCCTTTGGAGTTTTTCATAAAGGCCCTTGTTACAGTTTCCCCACACTACATAGCAATAATCACAATGTGGTTGAACAAGGCTATTATAAACTTTAATCAAAATATTGAATGGAGTGAGATGCCGAATTCGAGTAATTGCACCAATGGCACAAGCTATCTTCTTAGAGATATTTTCAATATGACACTCCCAGTTTACATTTTGATCGACATAAACTCCAAGGGATTTAGTGGAGACTACTTGCTCTACTGCGTTCTCGTTTATAGTAATCGAGGGACTTTCCATAACTTCTTGTAACTTCTGCCTTGATGCAATAAGAAGCTTGTTTGAAACTAAATTGCAAGCTTTTACAGCTTTAGCTCTCATTGGGTATTCTTCTCTCCGTCAGCTTAACTTGGTAACGTCACCAGTACGATGAAGTACGACACAATTAATCCAAAGAGCTGTGGAACCGCAAACAAAACACGCGTAAGTGTAACATATCATAAGTTAACTTTCAGGAGGGTTGGGGGAGGGGGAGGTATGCAGATTCGGGTGGAAGATGCCGATTTATGCTAATCCTCATTCAAGTATTGGTAAAATTTTCGTTCTTTTTTTTTTTTTTCTCTCTGGAAACGATCTCCTGAAACACCTGAGATCTGCGAGCTCGCGACCGAAAAGACAGCTCGATTAGTCAGTCCGTTCGTCAGTCAGTCAGTCAGTCAGTCATCAGTCAGTCAGTCATTCAGTCAGTCAGACAGTCAGTCAGTCAGTCAGTCAATTATCAGTCAGTCAGTCAGTCAGTCAATCAGTCAATCAGTCAATCAGTCAATCAGTCAATCAGTCAATCAGTCAATCAGTCAATCAGTCAATCAGTCAA